CTGGGTAGACAACAGGACTGGATAGGTGACAGGGCTGGCTAGGTGACAGGGCTGGCTAGGTGACAGGACTGGCTAGGTCACGTGACAGGGCTGGCTAGGTGACAAGACTGGATAGGTAACAGAACTGGTTAGACAACAGGCCTGGCTGGGTGACAGGTATTGCTAAGCACCCGACTACGACGAGATAGCTAACCAACACACGATGGCGGTAGGAGAGTGCGCGGTGGCAGAGATATTGCAAGGGATCTCATAGAAAGTGAAAACAACACGGTTACCAAGCAATGTCTCTCTTGAGGTAGAGAATTTGTCATTTTCATTTATGCAAATGTAATAACTGTACTGTTCATAGGTAAATTACAATACTCACCCAATCATATAACTCCCGTTGACTAAGGAAGTGCAGGAAGAAAGAGAGAGAGAGAGAGCAAGCAAGAGAGAGCAAACGCAGAAGTCAACTTGCTAGTCACAAAACGAAAAGACAATGTGCAGCATAATGCTACCTCTTACCATCCAACGAATAGCGCTCTCTCAGTAAATATTCTCTATTACAACAGAATTATCTTGTTAATGCTGTCTATCCGACATTCATGTCTTAGAAATACGTTACACGTATGCATGCAGGCACACGCACGCACGCACGCACGCACGCACGCACGCACGCACGCACGCACGCACACAGACAGCTGCTGTCCCCTATTCAATGGTATATACAGTTGGATAGACACTTGAATATGCCTGATGGACCATTAACGCAGTAGCAAAAATACATCACTACTAATTAATAACGTACACCTCCCAAATCATGGAATTGGCCATTTCAAACCCATTCACCTAGCAAAATCATTTGCAACAGAGGTAAAAAATAAGCCATTAAGGATGTTCTACGACTGAAATCAACACCAAGAATAGAGATTTCGATGATGGGATTTTGCATCCAGGAATCTATCAAATAGTCCAAACTTTATATCTAGTCATCATGCCGTTTTAGCAGTGACTGATTCTTGCTATAACGTTTATGTTCAGTTAGGTACTCAGGAGTCAGGAGTGCCTATGTTGTGAGTGCTATTGAAGATATGAGGGTCAAGCTGATATCTAGATTGTTTCCAAGATGTGCACATCAAATAGACTTACTAGATTTCTAGTAGTAGACTTGTATTCTGCTAGTAGTACATCGACAGATTACCACAATTAGACACAGCATTTGGGATGCAAACGTCGAATATTTGTAATACATTTCTAGTCGTGAACACGTATTCTGCTAGCAAGCACAGCAACACATCTAGTATTAGACATGTACTCGACGAATAGTACAACATCATTGTGAGTCGACATCAACAATGTGAACATCGAACACTCTTGCATATCTAATAAGTAGGCACTACCCTTAAATTGACTAAGTAGCGAATTTTCTATGGTGTATATTTGTAAAAATTTTGTTGCGGTTTTTTTTACATGAAAAGTAAGTACTAACGGCACTAAATGTATCCTCAAATTCTTACCTGATAAGATTGTTTCTCAACTAGTTAAAAATACAAAAAATCTGGGCGATTTGATATATTGATCATGACTTTAAATGCTTGCTATGGGCTATGTATGAGTCATGAGTGTTTGTCCACATCGAACGGAATAGCAAAACAGGAAGTTTAATGCAGCAATTTAACCATGAAAAGTGAACGGAATCACTGACATTTTGTGAAAAAGTGGACATAATTCGTTTTAACTTTTACTATTTACGGTGACGTAATCACAGTTAGTTCTTACTTTTAATGTAAAAAAATGGCAATTTTTTTTTAAACAAATTTTACCATAGAAAATTCGTGACGTAATAACTTTAAAGCGGAGCGACATCGCAGCAACATCGCAGCGGCATCGCGCGCGGAGGCGTAGCGTACCTCTCGTAGCCCGCTGTACTCCTCCGCGGGCATGACAACGTCGTGCTGGTAGTAGGCACGCACGCGCACCGACCCGACATCGCCCTTCGACGGCGCACAGACTCCCGCCAGCAGGTGCCAGTCCTCGCTCTGCTCGCCAGGTGGCAGCGACGTCAGCCGCGTCGTCACCTGACCTGCGGCGCACGCGCAAAACGTCACTACGTGCTATCCGTCCGCTCGCAGCACCCGATTGTCACGACGATAGAGGCATTCGGCGGGGGGGGGGGCAGCGATACTCGACAAGATAACCTATATCCATATCGACAAGGAGATTCGCCTTTTATTTGCGAACCGTTCGGTCCGTGTTGATGCGTCTACACTAGTGCTTTGTAGGGTCGTAGACAACTGAAGAGCTGACGCACAAATTTCGTGCCCAGTGACTCCGCATAAAGCAGAGCGGAGATACGGCCGAGGAGTCCGGATGGGGCCGAAGAGTCCGGATGGGGCCGGGGAGTCCGGATGGGGCCGGGGAGTCCGGATGGGGCCGAAGAGTCCAGATGGGGCCGGGGATTCCGGATGGAGCCGGGGAGTCCGGATGGGGCCAAAGAGTCCACATGGGGCCGGGGATTCCGGATGGAGCCGGGGAGTCCGGATGGGGCCAAAGAGTCCACATGGGGCCGGGGATTCCGGATGGAGCCGGGGAGTCCGGATGGGGCCAAAGAGTCCACATGGGGCCGGGGATTCCGGATGGAGCCGGGGAGTC